CAAGTGCATCTAATTTAGGATAATAAATGGAGTGGAGTTGTAAATTTTGAAGGCAGGCTAACAGGTTTTTGACAGAATTCCAGCTGATAGACAGGTGGTCAAATACTTATTTGCAGCTGTATCTTACAAATGAATAGATTTAAAAAATCATAGATTATGATTTCTGGACTTTTGTTTTAGATTGTGTCTCTCACAGTATTATTTTGCAGAAGACCAAATGGAAATCGTTATTAAGTTGATCCTCCTTCTTAGAGGGTACATTTCTTGGTTCAAATTGGTTTTCAAAACTTTTTTCGAGACTGTCCAAGAATGGACACTTTTGGATTTGTCAGCTTTCACAATTTTGGGAAAATTCATGTGAGGACACCTGTTCATCTGAGCACACTGATAATATTTGTGTAATCAACTGTGTGTATAAATGTGTGTGTTTGGTTGCATATGCGAGTACCGGTACCTAGCCATTTGTGCATATCGGTGTGATGTGATGTGCATGATGGGTGGTAGTGAAGCATATTTGCCTCCCAGCTATATCATTTGCATACTTGTCACAGTCTGTGCTTTGGGAGTCAGGTTCAATGATGCATGCTGTTTTTCCACCAGCGGCTCTGGTATTCACTGAGTCCCACTGTCACAGAGACGTGCACGTCAAGTGTTGCTGCGTCTGCCGAGAGCTGACGCACCCATCAATTTCTGACGTCACTTAGAGCTTGTGAGTACCCTAACAATGCTCCGCTTGATTAGACCGCAAGTGACCACCTCTGATGAAAATCGGCAAGTTTGCTGAGTTGGAAAGGTAGAAAAGTAAGCTCTGTTTTTGTTGTGAAAATCCAAACAAGATCAACATATTCAACTAATTGCAGCAGAAACAAATACCAAATCTTTCAGGGAGGCATTCTGTCCTCAGTCACTTTCAAAATGCCTCAAAGTTTCTTCAAAGAAACAGAAAGAGACAACACCCAAATGCAAATAGGAGATAAGTAGGTTCTGTAATCATACATAAAACAACATTTTCTATATCCCCACAAACCTAAATGCACTCCGACACAGTGCAAACAAGAAGCTGTTTTGAACAAGATCCCAGATTCCTTTAACCTTCATCTGCTCTATGCTCATATTCTAACTGTGCAGTCTGGAGTGGACAGCAGAAACCCAGGTTGCTGTACTATAAATAACATGTAAAAAAAGCACCAACTCCAACACTCCATACAGAAGTAGTCATAACACTTACATCTCACACACATATAAGAGTGTATTTATGACCATTCTCTGCAAGGTGAACTTCTATCTTTAAAGAAATGTCAAGTCATGCAACACATAGTCTATAGGAATTATGCTTTGAACTACATCATTTCATCTACTTCTGCTCATAAATTATCTTTCACTGTGGTAAACTCATCCTCCAGTCTTAGTCAAAAGTCAGTCTGACAGGTGTTATAACCCACAGCATAATGCTTTTATCACCAGATTTCCCCCTGCAGATGTGCTTTAGGCGATGTGGTGTGTATTTTACTGTCACTGTTTTGTATATAAGAAAAGAACTTCATTTTTCATGATCTAATATTAATAAGGGCTAATTCTTCCATATTGCTATCTCTCCTATATGGCTGGTAGCAAATTCTAAGAACTTTAACTCTTTGCCTCTCACAAGTGTTCACAACTACAAGCATCTGTGTCACCAGTCTTCCAGCCTGAGTTGTAGATCTATTAAGTTCCTCGAGAGTTACTTATTGCCACAAGACTCATCCTCTGATTAATACTTTTTTTGCCCACTCTAATCATTTTAGTGTTATTTCTAGGAAGGCTTTAAACCCCCCACCCCCCCCCCCCCCCCCCCCCCGGTTCAGACAATGATCTGAACTATTGTTCAATAACCTAAGCCTGCTTTAAGTTTTCACACAACTTTACCCCTGATCACTCTGCTGTGTTTGTTCATATTTATGATGTTGTTCGTTTTACAATGTTGAATAAAAAATGTTTTTATACTGAGATGGGATTTATATGGACTACGTAAACTAATAGGATACTTTTGAAAGCAGTTGTATTCATTGGGATTTAAAGGTATGGAGGACGATCTTTAACTGGATCATTTAAATAAGTGGTCCTCTTAATTGTCAATCATTCTGGTGATATGTTTATGTATGGCGGTCCTTCGTGCTCGTCCCGTTGGCTTTTTTTTCTGCAAATGTGCACTTTCAGGCGTATAGGTGTGGTGAGCTATGGTTTCAGCCAGTCATTGAAGCTCACCTTTTTCACCCCGGAAAAACGAGAAAAAGTGTCTTAGTAGTGTATGAGAAGAAAAGAAAGGCAGAAGGCGAAGCAGTTAGCGCACGACCCATGTACAGAGGTCTTAGTCTTCAACGCGGCCGACCAGGGTTCGAATTCGATCTGTGGTCCTCTGCCGCAGGTCCCTCCCCCTCTCTCATACCCCCTTTGCTTTCGGCCTACTGTCGAAAAAACCAGCCAATAGTGCAGCAAAAACTAAAAAAAAAAAAAAAAAGGCCTCAGAAGAGGCAGATATATCCTGGACAAGCATTATTAGATTGGTTGTTACAGCGACCCGCTGTCAACATAGGCTGTCGTTACCTGACAGTGGCGACTAATAACAAAGATGGTGCCGGCACCGCATGGTGAAGGAGGAGCAAAAGGGAGTGATCATCTGTCTGAACAGTAAGTTAACTGAGTTTGCAATAAAGTCCAATTTATAGTCCCCGCTCTATATAGTGCTTTAGGGGTTAGGGCGGACGTTCGGACACAGTAAGTTGCTATGAGAAGAGCAACTTTTAAACAGTGTGCAAAAGGAGAAATGGGGTACAGGGTTGTGCATGTGCATTTTTTTTAAGTCGAAAAGGTGGATCTTTTAAACAAATCGCAATAATCCTCCACTATACCTTTAATTAAAGATATTTCAATTATTAGGATGAAAAAAATACACTCTATACTTCACAGATTGATATCTGTAAAAACCTTTCATGGGCTTTGCTTTATTATTGCTTCCATTTAACAGTTTGAGTTCACTTCCTTTAAATCCCAATATAACACACTGATGTTTGTGTTTGTAAAATGACAAAAGGTGAAAAATTACAATGGTTATAATTTAAATGGGCACTCTATTAAGCTTATAGATGTTCATTTTGAAGAGCAGGAGATGTACATTGTTGTGAAATGATTAGAGGACGATAAAAGGTCATATACACAAGACATGCTGTCCCTGCTGTTTCAGAGAGGAGCCTTCTCAGCTTGACTAGATGATATAATGAGCCGTTATGTTGCGGCTGATGGGATGACAGAGAACAGGACATGGTAGAGGAGAAAAGAGGGCAGCAAAGAAGATTTCAAAAACACACTAGCAGCCATAGAAGGTGGATCATACATTTTCCTCAGCAAATTCCAACTGTGACAAAAGTCTTTGCCACTTGAAAGGTTAAGATTTCAATTCTGGTGCATCCAAGTCACCATGGTGAGGGAGGTAAGAAAATATGAAAAGGTGAGGAAAGACACTTGGAAGGTGGCTGCGGTTATGGGCCAAAGGTTTTTATTTGTTGTGAATTAGTTTGGAGAAATGTGTTGGTGAGATGAGGAAAAGAAAAAAGAGGGGCAGGTAGAGGATGAGGGAGATGGTAAAGGTCTCTGTTGATGATTTACATGCTCCATCAGGCAGACTACTGGGCCGTAAAGAGTGACATGGTCTGTTCCTTCAACCTGTCTGACCCCAATATCCACTGTATATCAGGTCCCGCTGCTGAATGCTTAACCTCTGGGGCTCCTCCTCCTCCTCCCCCTCCTCCTCCCCTTTCAAAGCTCAACTAACACACACATTTATCAACAGGTGCGTTGGACTGATAAAGTATTTTTAGTCTTTTTTTAAATATTTGTTGTCACTTTACAATCCTAACTATCAGGATATTTTACTAAGCAAAGAACATCTTAAAGTAGGACAAGTGCAAAATAAGAGAATGCAAGTTTAACAGAGCATTTTCAATCTATATGATATATTGTCAGTCTAATTTAGGTCTGAATGCTACAGGTTTTTTCTAAAAATAAATTTGTTCTGGTCAAAATTACTCTGTTTTAGCTCTGGCTTTATGTTATGGATAATTTTGCTGGCAGATGACCCTCCATTCTAGTCTAATCTTACTTTCAGCTCTTACCAGTTACCGTTTGGGGGGAAAAAAACTTTTCTCCACAAGTGAATGTTTTCACCATATTGCATTCAGGGTGATGTACAATGTTATTTCGTTTTTTTTTTTGTTATGTTTTGAGTGTGTGTTAATTGATCTTTGAAGACCCCCACTTCTTGGCACTAGAGGGCACTAGGGCTGCGTTAATACCAAGCTGCCCCTCCACCTGCAGTGCAAGTGCATGAGAGCACATACTCTTCATATGTAGGACCCTTGTCGCTTTCAAAATCTCTTTCCCCTTCTTTTCCATCACTTTATCGGTAAGATCGCACCACTATCGGCCAGCTCTCAGGAGGTCCTTGCCTGTGAGAAGGTCAGACGAAGGAAAACTTCCCTCCTATCTAGCTCTATTATGGCTCCTGTGACCTTCGGGGTTCAGTGCTAAAACCCATCTGTGTTTGTGGGTGCGTGCTTGAAGCAGATGGGACTATTGTTTGTTCTACTGTTTATTCCAATGGCAGCTTCAACCATGCACACAAAGTGCTACACATACCAGCAAACCCCCTGCTCTTTTTTTCTCTTCCGTAAATGAAATCAATAGATGCAGATATCCTCTGTGTTCTGTCACTGCACATCTGTCGCAACAAAATGCAACAAAAGAGCAACTTGCTTCTCTGGAAATGTACAAACGACTTGACATGTGGAGTCACAAATGAATGAACACACTGCAAATTAAACATAAAATAACATTGAAATAATGATTCAAGTATTTTGATTGTTGCAAGTGTGTGTAGCGCCAGATGATGAGAGAACAAAAAACATGAAATGGTTATTGCTGTTCTCTGCAATTTGAGCCCCATGATAACACATGATAAAGGATACACATCTCCTCAGAGTATGGCACAGGGGCGGTGCTGCCAGCTGTCATGTAGCCATAGAAGGACACCTCAAGAGTGTAGCAGTAGGAAGTATCATCCAGAAGACCGCCAAGAAAGCGCCTACCGGTACCGGCCTTCACCTTGTCCCGGTTAAAAGAAGTGTTTGACTGGGGAGAGAAGGAAAGAAAAGGAGAAAATTAAATGCATATGAGTTAAATATAAAACCAATTCTCAAAATTTGGACTGGATTAGGGGACATATGGAAGGTGTGAACATTCACCTCATTTTAATATTTTCAGTTAATCTATGAATCCTAAAGCTAAGTCAACCTAAATCAAAACTCTCCTCTTTTGAGATTAATAAGGGATTTTGTCTCAATAAAAAAAATAAAGGAAGCACATATTAAATTGAAAAGTAAACAATCCTCCCACCAAGGTGTCATATAAGTGCATGTTACTCAAATTAGGGATGATTAAGTATCACCTATAGGAAACTACTACAACAGATTAATCAGTTTTATTTATTTCGCATGTTTTAAGCAGAAACGTAAGGCAAAGACACAAAGGAACGTAAACAAAGAATATACAATCAATTAAAATGAGGTATTATGGCATTAAAATGAGTTAGAGGAGTAAGAGCAGAATCCAACCATATTCATTAGGGACTCACACTCATCACAGTAAGAGATTTGCTCCTCCTGTAAGAACTGCTAATTAAATAAACATTGAATGGCACCTTTGGGAAAAATGTATTAAAGACCTTAAAATAAATCCCGCTCCCATTTATACATGCGTCATGTCAAGAAGAAATGTAAAAAAATCTAAAATCTTTCAAAGCTTCAACTGCATGGTAAAGACTTTGTGGTACTGTTGGCCTATTTTTCTACTAAAGGACCTAATATGAGAGTGTGGCATTCTTAATTCTTTCAAATAGCAGGGGCCTTTAAAAGAAAAAGATTGCACGGGATCCATCCTAAAGGTTTACTGACACCAAAAATTTAGAAAATTGCATGCAATAAAAAGAAATAGGGTTATAAAACCATGCACATGCTCACCAGCATGAATGTTTCTTTTATTAATCACAGCTGCACCTCTGAATTTGCCTACAAGGTTCTGCCTCTTGTTTTGCCATCTACTTGTCCACATTTACCGGTAAGCATAAGTGCTCCATGCAAAGAAAATCATAAATGGTAATGTATAATAGAATGAGCCAGCTGATCAAAGTTATTCCGAGGTTAACAAAGGCAACCACAGAGAGGAAAGGGGAAAACCGTTTAAATGACATAGAAATAGACATGTTGGCACTGGCAGCACCAAGGGTTCGTACTCTGCTTTTGTTTAAAGGCCTGGGTTTTGGTACTGTTGTAACATCTTCCTTCTTTGACAGAAAAACCCAGATAGATATATGTCGTCACTGTCAAGGTGTTTGAGTCTGTCATGATGCATTACTGGGCTGCGTTTAGGACCTTGAATCCCATTTGGCACTAGAACAGGGCATGTGGCAACAACCATGGGCCCGTCCATAGCACTTAGAGCTTTAAGCTTCTCTGTTATTTGTATCCTCTTTGACAAACAACAGGTCACATACGCTGCAGGATTGCTCTCTTGCTCTGAGGTCATTTCTGTTGCTCTTATGCGGAGGAGTGCTCTTGCCATCGTGTAAACTTATTTTAAAACTTCTTCCAGATAGAAAAAAAATCTACAATTTCTAGATTTGGGTTCTCGCTGTGTGAGACTGCATATCCCACAGCAGTCTTCCCTTCCATAGATAAGTATAAGGTGTGGATTCAGTCACCATACGTCATGAACTGTGGTAGTCTGGGGTACACAGTGACAATTTTGATCTTGATTCACATAATATTAAAGCATAATATGTAAGAAAGTCTTATCAAATCCATTCCTCTTGCCCATTAAAGGAGGTGTGTCGGTAATATTCAGGAGCTTGCACACACTCTGAAACATTGAACTCTTCAATTTACAGCTTTGATGCATATATAACTCTACAAGGGTTCCAAACCTGGAAATAAAGTCAAAGAAAACTTCCTTGCAGTTTTTTCAGTACCTTGGACAGGGACAGAAAAAGATTTGCCCCATCTAATGAATTCTCTCTCTTTCTCTCTCTCTCTAAGATTACTTTATTAGGACACCAATCTAGTATATTACAATCAATAGCCTTTTTGATATTTCTGAATACAAGATAATGTTTAGTTTATTTAAATTTTGCATTAAACTAAACTACAGAGCTTTACAATCTTTGAATACCTGGAGCTTTACTCAGAGGTCTGCTGCTTTGTCTTGTTTTTATTCTCGCTGCTTTCATCTGCATTGTTTTTCAGCAAATAGCGCTCTAAACAGCAACCTAATGCCACCTGCCAGTCATCAAACAGCAAATTTAGCATGGAGTTTGAAAACACATGGGTACATTTAGCAGCTAATGAGCCATATATACACATCTAAGGATTCAAAGAAGGCCAAAAACTGCTGGATGTTTCATTCAGTTACTGTTTGCTAACAAGTTTGTCGCATCATATTGTCTCATACACAATTGGTCAGGAAGGGAAAGAAATATCTGTGAAAGGCAAGTTAAAACATCTTTAATATAGCTAAGCTGGAAAAACCAAATGCAAGGTTAATAAGCACAGTAAATACTTCAGAGAAAGTGTTATTAGTAATTACATCATCAATGGAAAATTATTATCTAATTGTTCCTATACTCTCAAATTATATACATACCAAACAAAGGATAGTAGAATTGCAAAGATATTTGCATCAGATCAATCGAGTTTTCCAATTCTATTGCTTGGTTTTATGGGTCGAGCAAACATTGCTGTTGCAAGAGCCAACAACGTTACTTGTTACAACGTTACAGAAACGGCCGAAATTGGCCTGTTGCTGACCTGATGGCAAGCTAGAGAACTGATGTTCCATTATGTTTTATGTCAGTATTTTTATTTTTCTCAGCGCTGAATGGTCATTCACAAATTCTTGTCACTAATTCCCTAACTGCATCTTCATTATATGCTTCTATCTAAAAGGAAATCCAGATTCTTTCTCCCCTCTTCTTGAGTTGTTCCAACTCTTCTGATAGTTGGTTACAGACTTATGACTATGACTATGACTATGACCTGGATGACTGAGAACCTTCATCAGCATATTGGTTACAGACTGGTTGTCAGTTAATAAAGGGCCCAGACCTTTGCACAACACAAACAGAACCAAACACTGAGAAGCAGCTTTTAAAGCTTAAAGAGCTTAAACCCTAATTTGATTTAAATCAATATAAAAAACTAATTTGTTTGAGTTGCATTTGACTGTTCAAAATTTGTAATCAAACTTTTTTTTTTTTACCCAAATAATAATTTTAGTTTTTTTTTAATAATTTCATCAATTGTTTCTTGTAATCATTTCATCACTTGAATTATTCATTCTTACTCATCCTTTATTACCTTTAATAATCAGTTTTATGTTTTTCTCCTACTTTGTAGTTGCACTGTACTTTTTCTGTTTTGCTATTATGTTTCATTCTTGTACAAAATGTTCAATTGTCTCGTTACTGGAATATGCTATATAAATAAACTTGCCTTGGCTTGTGATTGATTTAGTTAAATTTCAGAATTAGAATGCCTTCATTTGTCATTGTACAGAGCGTAACAAAACTTGTTCCATGAAAAGCCATCCAGGAGACACAATGCAATAACACACATGGGGGGGGTGTTAGGAGCCTGAGGCTTCAGCCATTGGAAGGCAGGGCCCTTGGGTTAGAAGATAATAACAGTATAAACAGGGGGTAGATGAGGATAAAAAATAAATTTGTCTCACACCTTGCCCTTGCCGGGCGTGATAAAAGGTTGGGGAAAAAAACAAACAAAACCTCAGCATAAAGCACATGGAAGCCACCAGTGAGGGCAGTGAGTTTCAGGGTACATGTATCTGACAGTATCTGAAGTTTCTTTTAAATAATAATCTTTTTACACTACTTTTTATTGCTTATTTTGCTCTGTTACTATGTTGTCATTGTGTGCATATGTTCCTATATATTTTTAGCTTGTATATTTTATTCACCTGTGTAACACTTTGGTTTCATCATGATATAGCAAAGTGTTTCTTGAATTATGTTTCTTTGATTGATTGATCATGAACATGATTTCCAGTTGAAGAGAGAAAAATACCATTTTGGCCTTCCCCTGTTTTAGGGAAAGTCATTTTATTCTATGATAAATACTATGTGAAGGCAAAGAGGTAAAGCAACAAATACAGATTTTTGACCTAATTTGAACATTAGTTATTAGGTGGAAATACTGCCCAACATCTCAAGTCAGTCAAGAATTTAAAGTTTGGTGTGAAATGGAAAATCACTAATCATTTCAAATTAGTAATAAGTTGGCTTAAGGGCAGGGATGTGAATATTTTAGTGACCATCTTAAAGCCCTTATCTGGTCTGTTTTAACCACCTTCAATATTTCTACAGTATTTCAAACACACAAAATGTACGTACAATGTCAAAACATTTGTGTGTGAATGTATATCAAATAAAATAATTAATAAATGACATGCCATTAGTTAAAATGCATTTGTGTCCTGGGATTTCTCTCTCCGAGTCACTTGCAAAGGGGAGTTCATTGTAGCAGATTTACAAACCATGGCTGAAAATGGGCAAGGTGTGGGAAAAAAATCTATTTTAGCCGTGAGCGTGTCAGCTATTATACAAAATTTGACACTGTCAGGGGATGTGTGTGGAAAAAAACGTTCCATTCACTGTAAACTCAAACTCCAGCAGCAAGAGTGGACTTGCTGAAATGCAGACTCGTGGCAGCCGATGGGAGTTTGCTGTGATTGTGTTGTGCTGCTGCTGCACTGGGCTTTAGGTAGTGCTGAATTGGCATGGGGACAATGGCACAGAAGGGGAGATGACCCCGGAGCCAGCTGTCACGCAAGACATCTTGGGTATAGAAAAGCAGTTTGTCCTGAAATGGAGTTTTTGCTCGTCATCTATAGGATGTCTTTAAATAACAATAATTAATAAAGTTATTCTATATCATACATGTAAGTTGCTTTTCAGTGAAAGGTCAATGTGACAAAGGAAATTGAAAGTCAGAAGTAGAAAGTAGATTAAGCATATTTGTTAGTAAGTGGAGGTATTTCCATTTATCTTAATTCATACAATTGAGATTTCAGTCCCTGGGTAACCAACCAAAGTCAACTTTTAAACTTAAAAACTGCACTTTGACTTTTTACTTTCCTGCAAAGAAGGCTGGGAGAGTCCTTTAGAGTTTTTTGACATTCATACATATTTTCCCTCGTCTGCATACAGGCTGTTCTCTAAAAGGACAAAATGACAAAGGTTTTTGGAGTGTTTTGTTAATTAATTAAAAACCAAAGGAGTGAAGTATTCCATTAACTTAAGTGTCCACAGTCTTTGTTATGACATCTGCAATTAGGTGGTGGAGCATCCCACAGCTAGAAGAGCTCCTTGAGAGGCCTCTATATCGTGATTGGAGTCCACCTGAACAGAACTGGATTAATTGGAAGTAATCAGGAAAGGTCTAGAGAAGGTCTCACAGTTGCTAATGTTTGTCTCTATAAAACCCAAGCAATGAGGTCAAACAAAAAATCCACAAACCTGTGAGATGGGGGTTATGACAATGTGCAGGCTTAGCAAAGGATGTGAGAACGCTGATGAAACCAGTTCTGTTAAAGTAAAGTCAAAGCAGTTGTTATCAAATGCGGTGGGGCTTTATAGGAACAGGCTTAAATTTTAATGTTTTTTTTATTTTTATGGTTTAGGTCAAATAGTTTTCATGGTGGACTCTGGCTTGGTCTATGTTTTACATATCATGTTTATTAGAAGCCTATTTTTGACTGTTTTTTGGTATCAAATAATCAAAATTTCCTTAATATGAAAAAAACAGAATATCGACTGATAAAAAAAATAAACTCTTTCACTATCTTGATATTTTTTATGTTAAATTATACCTTTGAACTAAGGAAGCAGATTCGAGGTTGCTTCCTTACCTCTTGCAGTTGCTTTGCAGATATCTGATTCATACTTAATCACTAAATTAGACATATTTTTATCATGGAATTTAACTATAACGTGCAAGTCAAAATTATGGCTCACTGAATGAATGAATACTTAGCAAAACAGCAAAGGCTACATGTTTTTTTCATGTTTATACTTTATTGTAGTTTGTTTCTAGGCAAATAAACAATAAAATATACATTTATCAGTATTTCCCTAATGTTTTCTTGACTGCCACAGCTGTGACCAAAGTGAACATCTTTTTATATACTAATCTGACTCTTTGAGGTATCCTCTTCATTGTGTTCACATCTATATATGTGTGAACAAGTTTGAATCTGCACTTTAGTGTTCGAAGCCTAAGATATACTGCTAATTACCTCATCCATGCAGTCTATATGAGGAAATGTTCTCCTAATCTAAAACTAGTGAAGCATGTGTTTTCTCTAATCAGCACCTACAATAAATGCATAAAACTACACTTTAAAGGCAGACAGTCCAAGCTATGGTCCCAAGCGTCTGCCACTTAGAGTGCAGCAGTTCAGTGCCTCACCAAACACCACTTCACCAGGACTTGCTGAGATAAGACTATTTCACGCTGTTAAGCAAAGCAGTAAAAACTCTGGGTTCTGAGTTCTCACTCTTGTGTCTGTGTGTCTGTGTTAGTCTGACTTACAAAGGAGAAGTCCGGCGCATTTTGGCACAGCAGTCTGGGAAACACGGCCTGTCTTTGAACACGTTCCTCGTCCTCAAACACGTTTCCATACATGAAGCCGTTTAGCATGGTGGAGTGGGAATGCACATCTATATAGAACTCCAAACTCACACTCTAAAGGTGAAAAAGGGAAATAGAAAAAGGCGCAAAGGGTTAGTTGGGATAGTTTTCTGTCCAAGAGCAATGGCCTACAAAACACTTTCTCCTCTGGGAAATACCGCGACCCATGGGACAGCTATGACCACTACAGACACGGTGGACTGAGATTAGAGCCCTACCTGAAAGGAGTCAGCCACCCAGACATAACTTCAATCATGCTGTCCTTCTGAAGGGCAAACCATAAAAAGCATATGCCCTGTTGAGCTGAGAGGAATAAGGTATAAACACAAATAATCTGGACAATTCATTCACCAGTTTTATTCCTTTAACAACCCTAAATTTATTTAAAAGTGGAAACTTAAAAAAAATATATATATATTTCCCCCTTATGATGAAATTTACACGGCTATGCTTTTTTAATATGTTGGCTCCTTGACTGACATCTGGCCTCCAATCCCTGGGCTCTGTCCAGCGCATTTTAGTACAAATGCTCATGATAATAAAGTTGTCAAATTTAACTGAAATTAGGCCGATACACTGACTTCTAATTAGTGTAATGGTCAGAGAAGGAGAGGTGTCTTTAAACACATTTACCTTCTTATTTGCACATATATGAGAAAAGCTTCGTGAAAACATGAACGCTAATGGATCAAACAAATGAAGGAAATAAAAGGTATAGATATTTGATGCAAAGAACAGAAAGTAGCGTTGATTGTTGATGATATTTTTACAAACTGTGTTTTGAAAAGCCTACTTATTTATTGTCCTTAGTAATGCTGGTGTTTGCTAATTTTAGTGTCTGAGTATAAATCCAGGTCAAAAACACACATGGTTATAACTTTAGATTATCAAACAAGTCAAGATATTAAATAGAGCTTTGTAATTTATCAATCTATAAACAATCTATAAAATACTTCAGTATTAGACTGACAAAGGATCTAGAACCCCCCATGCTCATAAAGAATCCTAATGAGAACCCTAAGATGTGATCATTTGTAAAGCACCCAAGTCATTAACAACTGTTTTTATATGCACCATATACTACTGTGGAAAACATTTCAGAGTGTTTTAAGTTTTACTTTTTAGCCCCACCTATATATTATATTAAAAAAACAAAATCATGATTTGTTGATTCAGAGATTAGAGGATCTGAGCCAACCTGTTCCTTTTTAAAAATATAAATTCCTCCTGATAATAATCATTAGCTGTATTTGGTCAAATCGTTATTGTTCAGTTTCACCAGTCAGTCCAACTTCCTTTCTGCAGTTGTAGAATCAAGAAATCAAATAAATAGAAGCTGTAGGACAAAATTATGTTGCTAAAAGATCTTAAAAAGCATAATGTCAGACCACGATCAAAATAAATTTGGCATCATTCTGTCTGGATATGTACTGCATGTATAACAGAGAAGAGTTTAGTTTGTGTCCATCATGGTACATCGTAACTTTTGAAACTATGTCTAAATGCTGCAGCTAGAGTTTAGATGAATTAAAAAGAGAGATCATATATCTTCTATCCTAGCTTCTCTTCATTGGCTTCCTGTTAAATCCAGAAGAGAATTTAAAATCCTCCTTCTCACATATAAAGCCTTACATGGCCAAGCTCCATGTTATATTAGAGATCTGATTGTTCCTTGTGTTCCTAACAGAGCACTTCACTCTCAATCTGTAGGTCTACTAGAATTAGAGTTCCTAGAATTTCAAAAAGTAGAATGGGAGGCAGATCTTTTAGTTATCAGGCTCCTCTCCTGTGAAACCAATTACCAGTTTTACTCCATGAGGCAGTCACCCTGTCTACTTTTAAGGGTAGGCTTAAAAGTTTCCTTTTTGATAGAGCTTATAGTTAGAGTGGCTCAGGTTATCCTGAGCTATCTCTATAGTTATGCTGCTTTAGGCTTAGACTTCTGGAGGACATAGGGACCCCTATTTCATCATTCTGCTTCATTTGATCTCTATTCCCCACTCTGCAGAATCTGTCAGTTCAATCTCTAACGTTATGCTCTCTCTGCTTTTTCTCATAGTAGCTTCATCTGGTCTGTTCCTGTTTGGCTGTGGCACCATCCTGGAGAGTAATATCAGTTGTGCTGCTGCCATCAACACCCTTGTTTATAGATGTTCGAGATCGGCCTGTTTTTCAGTTTAGTCCTGTCTTTCCTGACTGTGACTGGATGGATGTGCTCTCTTCATCCTCTGACATGGGAGCTGCCTCGGAGCTCGTCTCCTGTTAAATGGGAGTTTTTCCTCTCCACTTTTGCTATAAGCATGCTTAGTGTGAGGGATCGTCTTCAACTCAATAAGTCGATGCAATCAACTGGTTTTCCTTAGAAAACTTAGAATCAATTTGACTGTATGATCTGGTTGAACTGTAAAGTGCCTTGAGATGACATGTGCTGTGAATTGGCGATATATAAATAAACTGAATGGAATTGCATTAAAGTCAAAGTTTGCAAACAAACTAGAGCAGATTAAATTTATTTTACATTCATTAATATCTTTGTAATTGATTATAGGTGTTTACTTAAGGGCCTCAAAATTGCACAGCTTATAGCATTGTTTCCTCGCAGTAAAAAGGCTGAAGCTTAAGATGGCATTATCTCCTGGTACATGCACCGGTTTTCTCTGAGTACCTCCCTCTGACAGTACATAAAAATGACGGTTTGCTACATGATTATTCTAAATAGTTTTAGATGTGTTTGCATGCAAAGTTGTTTATGTGTCTTATCCTAGGCCCTGTAAGGATTAGCAGAGATGGATGGATGGATGGATGGATGGATGGATGGATGGATGGATCATTTTTATTCTTTATTAGATTTATTTTCACTTAAAAGCTACAATATAGATGTCATGTTATATCTTGAAAATAGTTTATCATGATCTTTTGTGTTTACAGAACACAAACCATGTGTTTAAAGACGGTTATAGATTGTTGAAACCCTGGTCTACTTGACAAACCTGTTGGGTAAACTTCACACTTGCAAATGAATCATAACACAATGCACATCTGAATAGCAGCTTTGAGAGGGATAATGACAAAGATAACCAATTCAAATTATGAACATATATTTCTAAATATCTTTGATCTTAATTAGAGACTTAATCAGACCGTCTGTGCTTTATCTTGGCCATCATTTCCAAGTTCATTAAAAATATACACCTGGTCTAACATCTTTTACCTAAATAAGGGCCTAAATAAAAGGGGGAGGTGAAGGTTAGTAAGAATGATAACTTCAATTACTTTAAAAAGACCACAAAATATAAACAACCCACCACACCCTGTGACCCTTAGCAACAGACTGGCACCCACCAGCATCCCATCGCTTTGCTTGCTCTCTCTATCTTATCAGTGTTGGCTCTCTCCTAGTTTTAGCCCTCTACTCTTCCTTCATTCTCTCTTTTATCTTCCCTCTCCGCTCATTACAGATTCAGCTCCACACCTTGTTCCCTGTGGGTCATAAACAGGAGGAGTGGGAGAAATCAGAGAGAAAAGGAGAGAAATAGAGATAGTGGGATGGAAAAGAAAAAGGATAAAAGGGAAACGATGCATATGCTTGTAGTAACGTGTTTTTTTGCGAATTAACATAGGAGGCATTGAAGAGCTTACAGGAAAAAAGCAGGTCGGAGACAAAGAGAAAAAATGAGGGAATAAGCAAATGAAGACAAACACAGAGAGGAGGGAAATGAGCAAAAGAAAAAGAGAGAAACAAAGATGTGAGACTGGCAGGGGTGAGACAGAGAGAGGGAAGTGATGCTTGGGCGGCCCAGGCGACGCAGTGTGGCTGTGTTTGAAATTCTGCTCACAGCCAAAGCAATTTCCTGGCGGTGGCTGGGCTGTCAGCTGCTTGGCTGGCTGGCGGTGAAATATGGTGGCTGGGAGTCGGCCGCTAGCAGCCCCCGACAACCTGATGGATGGAGCCCCAGAGGAGAGGAACAGCAGCCGGAGAAGGTGGGGTTGGGTGAGGAGAGGGGTGGGAGGTGGTTAGGTGAGGGGAAACAACCGAAAAACAAAAAGAGAAAAAGACTGAATGAGAGAAAGAGAGAGAGAGAGAGAGAAAAAAAAGCTTAATGCAGTCAAGTGAGCAGCGGTGATGCGAGGTAGAGAGAAGAAAAATAACATGAAGCAAAAAGGTTAATAAATAAATGAATAAAACTGAAGGTGAACAGCAAAAAGGGAAAAATACAAGAAGGAAGCAATGATAGAAAAGATGGGTAGAAGATTTCAGGTTTATTAGAGAAAGGAAAAAAAAGAGGGAGGGTACAAGGTCCAACCAACAGGGTCTCTACAAGGTATACCTGAATAATAATCATCCAGGGCTCCCCTCAGGAGGAGGTGAGAGAAAGTTAACAAGGAGGCAATCAAGGGCTAGGTTACAGAAAGGTGGACAGGCAGCTGATCAAAGTAACACATTGGGTGGAGATGACGTTATGTAAAACCAGTTAAGGTGTTCATACATTTAATTCAGCTGTTTATTTATCACAGCAGTGACTATGTGTCAGGTAGCTAAGGAGAACATGATGCTTGGATCACAAATATAGGAAATGATAATGTTTTAGTATTCGTTAAAGGAAAAATACAAAAACTTTTGCTCCTTTTTGCAAATTCTATAATGATTTCACAAGTACGAAAGCTTGTTATAAAGTTTTAAAGAATCTTTTAACCAGAGTGGAATATTTTTGTCTTCTTTTTAAACCATATTTTCTGTTTAACATGTCTCAAAGTAAAAATATCAAAGTGCTACACAAACATATAACAATAATTATAGATTTAAAAAAAAGTTTTAAATAATCCCTCTTCTCTGTGAGGCTTTATTGAGTATTTACAATTTTGAACCGATGATAAATTTCATCTGACTTATAAAAGAAAAGGCGCTGTGCTCAAGGTTAAGGCTGATATTATATCTTCCAATTATCCATTGCTACCGAGTCTGAAACGTCTTTTTTAGGAGAGTGTTGGACATAAAATAGGAAGCACCGAAGCAGAGGACATCAATAAGCTTGTGGACAGATAACATGTGGCCA